GCCTGGGTCGCCTCGTGCGCCAGGCTTGCGCCTACGCCAAGGCCGCCCTAGCCCCAGCCCCTGCCGTGGGCCCGGGACAAGCGTCTTTCACCTTCGCCTCTCCACACAGGTCTTCTTCAATGGTGCCAACGTCCAGCAGGTGGATGTGCCTACGCAGACAGGAGCCTTCAGTATCCTGGCAGCCCACGTGCCCACCCTGCAGGTCCTGCGGCCAGGATTGGTTGTTGTCCATGCTGAGGATGGCACCACCTCCAAATACTTCGTTAGCAGCGGCTCGGTCACAGTGAACGCTGATTCATCAGTTCAGTTACTGGCTGAAAAGGCTGTGCCGCTGGACATGCTGGATTTGGGGGCAGCCAAGGCAAACTTGGAAAAGGCACAATCGAGCTGTCAGGGCATCCGACGAGGCCATGAGGGCTGAGATCCAAATCCGAATCGAGGCCAACGAAGCCCTGGTGAAGGCTCTGGAGTAGGCGGTGCGTGCTCCTCGCCAGTGTCAGCGGGGAAACCAAGGCCCAGAGTGGGACAGGGGTTGGAACCAGCTCTCATGGGTCCAGTATGAGGGTGGGGGCAACCCCTCTGGGAGGTAGCCATCCTTGCCGGTGAGGCCACCAGGGGGCAGCAAATTGCTAGCTTCTCCCAGCGCATACCCCCTGGGCCCAGGCCTGGTGGCAGGGGTGAGCTCAGAGACCCTCCTCTGCTCTTGCGGGGGACTGTCACCTAGCGAATTTGCCTCCCACCTCCAAAGACCCCACCAACCTGACCTGCTGCCCTCCACTCTCGTGCTGTAGAGACCTCGCCTCCCTACTGCCTTCTCTGGACAGCTTGTCCCCAGTGTGCACCCCATTAAAGACCAGGGACCCCCCAAAAAAAGAAACTATTAGAGACTGTCTCAGACTTAAACAGACCTTCTCTTTTAACCTAAAGTAAAACTATATAAAAGAATTTCCCAAAAGAGAGAGAGAGCGCGCGCTAAAGTATTTATTTATTTTTTTTCGTTTTTTTTTTTTTTTCTTTTTTTTTTCGGCAGGTGAGTTGTTACACACACCTTAGCGGATTCCGACTTCCATGGCCATAAAGTATTTAAATAAATGAATCAACCTATGTCTTTTAGGTGTCAACCCAATTCTTAGGGGTATTAAAAATGGTGTTCTTACTTTAAAAGGGGGAAGGTCATTTGGAACTTAACTTGCCAAGGACAGATATAAATTGTAAATTCCTCCAAAACAGAATCTGGATCCCACTGTCCTCTGCTGTGTCTGTGTGTGTGTCTATACACATGTGCTGTGAACAGAAAGCCTTTCTACCTCTGGATGACATTGTAAAATGAATGTAAAGGCAGTGCTTGTAAGACTGGGTATGCTAAAATTCTCAGAAACAGATACATGAACTCAAATACTTTTCAAATTCATGCGATCTAAGATTAATCCTTGGGAAATAAAGCTAGCTTGTCTGTTGGTTTAAGTAAAAGACACATGTCTCTATTTGCCTGGATTTTACAAAAATAAGTCCATGTTAATAACTGACTTTGATGTCTATAAAATACGCTTCTAAAGGTTAAGTGATAAAACAACAATAACAACAAATCGTCAGGACCATGGGAAACCCAGGCAGCCGCTCCATGCTCCCCGCCGCCCGGCTCCCATTCCCGGTGTTCGCACTCCTCCGTGCGCTCGTGCGGGACTGAAGTCAGAGGGAAGGACTGCTGGCTGGCGTTCCCGAGAGGAGACCAGGTGTGGCAGAAGCACTTCCAGAACATCCAGAACATGCCCAGGAGTAACTGCCTCATCTCAGCGAGCTCACAGGACAGAAAGGCTAAAATCCATGGACTGCCGCCTGTTATCAAGTGAAATACACTGTCCAACCTCATTGGAAGGGACCTTAGCAGGCACCTCCTCACAATGGACATCTGACACTCGCCTCCGCCTACCACGGACATCAGGCTCCTCGCGGACGAGAGGCCGCGGACGTCACAGGTGGAGCCGTCCCACGACATCAACAAGGCCTGGGCAGCTGTGGCTCGGCACTGACCTCAGCACCCACTGCTTGCTCTTCCTGACCTGCTTGCTGTTATATGAGTCCTTTGTGCTTGTCCTGCGGGCTTTTCTATATAGTCCAACCGGTCACGATGACTGAACATGTAAATGTGATACCAGATGCCAAATACAGGAAGATGAGACGGAAGGCAGACATGGGCTCATGATTTTCACGGGTGGAAAGGACCCCGGGTGGTGTTGTGTTCTTGTTTTGGGTTTGTTGTTGTTGTTGATGTTGCATTCACCTCAACTCAGATCCCACAGCTCAGTGTTGCCCCCTCCACCATGGTCAGCAAGACGAGGCCAATACCGACTTCCTAGGGATGAGCTTCCCCGCGCTGTGAGACCACAGACAGCACCCTGCGGGGAGGGGCTCCAGGGGTGTCCTCATGCTGCCCCCAGCGCTCTCCTCTGCAGCCAGCCTGGCCCTACGTCCCTCAGGACGCCTGGCACACCTGGCCTTGGTCTGGCTCTCAGAACTACTATCCCCAGTACCTCCTTCTGTTCCCCGGGCAGAGAGAGCTCTGTGAGAGTCGAGGCTCCGCACTCACCCCGTTTTCCTCAGCTGGCACTGTGCCCGGCACCAGTGATGTTCTACCAACGGTGAGGCCGGCCTCGGAGGCTCCTGTCCTCCTGAGCGCCCCACCCCCAACCTCCCCTGCATGCTCCGGGAGAGGCAGACCTGTGCACCCGCTGCTCTCTGCTCCCAGGGGCCCTTCCCAAGAAGACCCAGGAGGCAACGGGAGCCCCGGCGCCAGCTTGGGGCCAGTGAGAAAGAGCCTGCACCTCTGGCTGCATTACCGGACCCTGCACCCGACCACCCACAGGTCACAGTGCTTCCAAGCCCACCGCCAGAAGGCCCAGCCCTGTGTGCTCACCACCAACAAGCGACTGCAGGAAGGAAGTCACCACAGATGCCGTTCCGTTCCTGTGACAGACGACCTGGAATCTTTATCGCCACCCTGCATGGGAGGGTGCTCACCTCACTTCACCGAAGAGGAGACGGCGGGTCAGAGAGGCCATGTGAGGAAGTCAGGAAGCAAGGGAACCAATCAGAATTGGAAGCACAGGCTCGTTCTTACCCCCCAAGCTCAGGCTCTGCCCGCCGTCCAGGCTCTCTGCAGGGAGAGGACAGACTGGCTGTGTCCGTGCTTGACACTCAGCGAGAGGAAAGTGAACGTCTGCAGCCATCTGTGTGGCTGCCAGCAAGACCGGCAGGCGGGGTCCCCGCTCCCATTCTGCAGGGGAGGAAACAGGCCTCTCCTCACACAGGTGGGCCCAGGGGGCAGTGAAGGCACCGGACACTCCGTGGCCCACGCCCTACAGTGAAAGGGGCTGAGCTGAGCTTTGGCTGCAGCACCTTCCCTCTCCACACCCGTCTCCCCAAGCTCAGGCCGACCAGGCAGGCCTTGCTCCTCAGTCCCCAGGGCCCCCAGCAGTGTGTCTGGCCTGAGAGCCCTGGGGCCTTGCAGAGGTGCCACCACCTGCTCCTGCTCCATGAGCAAGAGGAAGCAGGGCGCTTGCCTAACAGAGGAGGTTCCCGGGCGGGGCTGGCACAGCGCCAGGAGGGGTGGGGGGTCCCCGCCCAGCCTGAGGTCCAAGAAGGGAGCCACCCCCTTGCCCAGCTCAGAGCCAGTAGCTGGCCTGCGAGGCTGGGCTCAGTCTCCCCCAGACGGCAGCACCCAGCAGGATGGCATGCCCGGCAGGTGAGTCAGTGCCCAATGCCCGCTGACTCACCCACCGGAAGCTCCCGTGGCCCTGGCTCTGTCCCCACACAGGCAACTGAGAACTTTGCTCCCTTCAGGCCCCGGGCCAGGCTGGCTGAGAGTTTCCTGTGCGTCACACCAGGGGCGGAGGAAGTCCCCAAGGTGCCACCCTCCCGTCTTCCAACGGCTGGAAAGGCACACGACGGGGGTGGAGGCCCCAGAACACAGGGCAGGACACAGACATGCTCCCAGCATCCTCAGTGCACCTG